GACGATATCTTTGTACAGAATCTTATGCTAGCTCTAGATTAGAGTATTAACTGTAGTTAAATTAGTAACTAATCGGGAGTAGGTCGGGAGAAGTAGACAGAAAAAAAATTTTTTCGTGTTTCGACGATTGCCACTACTCAATGCGCTACCGACGCCGCAGCTGACAAACATAGCATTTCGTGATAGGGCTCAGTAAAGTATTTTGCGGGTTTTCGACTGAGAGGGTATTGAAACTTACATGAAAATCTGTCATAGGCCATAAACCGTATACATAGGTATAAAGTGAACACGCTAGCCAAGCAATCGAAATGTTTTTTTTTTTACTTGTGTAGTGGCCAGTTAAAGACTCTGTTATGATTCCGTGGCCTTATAAAAACAAGTGCGAGTCGGACTCGCGCACCGAGGGTTCCGTACAAACCTGCAAGGTTTACAAAGTTCGTTCATTACGACATATTTTGTAATGTAACTAAAAATTTAAGGTTTTCGGAATTTTTCCTTTATGTGTGCTATAAAACGTTGCTTCATGCCAAATTTCAAGATTCTAGGTCGACTGGAAGTACCCTTTAGGTTTTGATTCCCTTGCGAGTACTTGCGAGTTTCAAAATATGCAGCTTAAATTGCTGTTTCTTTTGATTGCGTTGACATAGAAGTTTGATTTTGTTACAGCTTAAAGGTATTATAGACCTGAGTATTTGGTATGAATTTCAATTTAATACCTCTACGCGTTTATGAGGAAATGGGTAGTAAGTTTAAAATTATTAAAAAAATATATATTATGTGATGTAACTAAAAATTTATGGTTTTCGTAATTTTTCCTTTATCTATGCTATAAGACGTTGCTTCGTACCAAATTTCAAGATTCTGAGTTCACGGGAAGCACCCTGTAGGTTTTGATTCCCTTGCAAGTGTCGAAAATTTGCGGCATAAACGGCTGTATCTTTTGATTGCGTTGGCTTAGAAGTTTGATTTTTTCACAGCTTCAAGGGACAGTAGACCTGAGTAATTGATATAAATTGATATAAGCTTCATACCTCCACGCGTTCCTGAGAAAAAGAGTCTTGACAGACGGACGGACGGACGGACAGACGGACAACAAAGTGATCCTATAAGGGTTCCGTTTTTTCCTTTTGAGGTACGGAACCCTAAAAAGAAGTCCACTATAAGCTTTACTATATTCCTTGAAATCGTTTATAAACATTTATTACAAAATATTTCTGACAAGTAAATGAAGAAATATGCGTTGTGTACGGTCACCATCAACAAAATAACAGGAATAATATAGCACTATTTTCACATCTTTGAACTGATTTAACTCGGTTTGGACTGTGTTTTTGATATAAGACCCCATATATTTTTTTATTTGTAATGTTATTCTGCATCAGTTTTTACACATCCAATAAACTGCCGCGAAAAATAAAAAGGCACCACGCTCCATACAAATTTGGTCATTGTCATTTAGGGTATTATTACATAAAACAAAACTGTTACAAATAAACTTTTCTGGATTTGTTATGGGCAAATTTAGCGATTACACTTTCAATATCGACTTCTTTAAGCAAGTCATGCTCTATATTCAACATTGTGAAATGATTAAGACGTCCTTGGCCCATAGTGTTCCTTAATTAATTCATTTTTGATTCGTTCAAATCGGGCTCGGTTCGCCCGCCAATGGCACCAACCAAGCGAACAAATAGTCACTTTCCTTTTCTTACACATACAAAATACCGACTATTTGTCTTTTTTCGTTAATTTCGTTAAGAAAAAAAATTAAATTACATGTAGGTTGGTAGTAGTTTTGTAAACCAAACATTTTCTTCATAAGTCTTGCTGTTGAAGTGGTGTTATTACGAAATACCTATTTGAGCGCGGGGCCCCCCAATCCGCGGGGCCCGTAGCATTTGCTACTCTTGCTACGTGGCTAATCCGGCACTGCTAACTTCATATACAATTACGAGACGCGTATTCTGAGATTCAAATTTCGCGCCATTGAAATGTCTCAGTTTTGACGAGATCCATTTGGGATGGACCAATTGGTCATGTTCATATGGCGTACGAATAGTCGCGGAGAACCTAACGGGTAACCGGGGCTCCGGCTTGACGTGCAGGAGAAGGAATGGGGTGGTTTTTAGTCAGTAAGAGTCTGACACTCCCTCCCGCCTCACCCAGGCGGGTGCAGTCATTCGATGATTTTCCCCCATTAAAAAAAAATGGCGTACGAATATGTTAATTCAAATACATTCGTCGTTCGTTTTTTTGTTAAACTCTAGTCTTCCTTGATACCTTACAAATTAAGTCACGTTTAGCACAGTAGAGCGAAATCGCGCATCCAAGTTAAAATTAATGATATTGTATCTCATATCGGTGCATTCACTTACGTATTGACAAAAGTGTAAAATATTAAAATTATAATAATCATAGTATGTATCAATGAAATTAATGATTTGCATCAAATCGTACGATTTCGATAGTGATGTCTGACATAACATAACATCGCACCTTTTAGCCCCGAAAGGTAGGCTGAGGTGAACATTACGGCACTTAATGCCACAGTACAATGTAACATCCACTTTCACTATTTATGTTATGAGTCCCATGTAATAGGGGTGAGCCTATTGTCATATACCGGGCACAATTCCAGATTAAATTTATTTATTTAACAATAATAATAATAGAATAATCCGACTGAGCGGACACCGCGCGTTTGGTGCCTGTCTCGCTGGGCAGCTAGCTTATAGCGGGAGCGGAGTCAGCGAGTTGTCACAATGCACAATAATAATTATAGGACCATAAAGCGCATACTTAACTATCTACTTAAGTACTATGCGGCTAGTATATGCAATAAGTCGATATCTGAATTCATAGTAACATTGGGTTCAAAATAATGAACATTTTTCTTACTTCTGTCTACTCCTTAGGAGAATATAGTATATTTACAGTTACAGGTTTGAGATATAATAATATGTTTGTGATAGACACGTGAACATATTGCGCTTTTTTGTTCATGTCAAAACATTAAATATTTAACCTTATTAGGTAATACGAAAGAAAAAATATATTAGCTGTTCGTTTGATTAGTAGATTAACTCAAATATCCACCGATTTTCAAAATTCTTTCACGTAGAGAAAGCTACATTACCAGGGATTACTATGGTATAATATTTATTGTAATTTCATTGTAAATAACAGCGTATTTGCATGAACTAATTGAGGAAAGGCGACGTTATCGCGCCATCAAGTAGCTACATTATCACCCTGCGATATTAAAATTGTAAGACAAAATACTAAAATAAAAATATAAGATATTAAAATAATATTATTTTGCGCTTTGTCTTGGTTTTTGATAGAAGTTTTCTTTACTGAGTACCAAAGTACTCAGTAAACTTTCAACATAAAGTTCTTGATATAAATTCATAACGAGCCGACTTAAGTTTGGCAACTTAATTGCACTTAACGTAAATAAAATATCAATTATCGATTTAGCTCGGGGATTAACAACCAAGTGATAACTAATAATATGTATGTAATAACCTATATTTATTATATGCAAAATGACTTTTTTACAAGTTTTTCGTTAAATTATGTACCTAGTGTGTATATTAAAGGCGTATTACCCAAAAATAGACATTTCTACTTTTATCGATAGTTACATCACTCCCACATCTCTAAGTTTGTTCCTTTGTTCGGTACTCCCCTTCGTTGGTGCGCATGCGTGAGTGTAGGGTAACTGGGTAAGAAAAACCGGGGTCAGCTGCTTCGTAAACTTGATACTGACTATAAACGATAATTCATTAATTGGCATAACCTTTACCTGGTCTGATGAATAAAACTTTATTTCAGCTGCATAGGTGAGTAAAGTTAACACATAAAATATACACATTCATAAACTCACAATTCAATTCCACAGGGCCATGTGGAAAATAAATACATATAAAATACCATTTACTTACTAACTTTATGGATATTCTAAAAATTTAATTTAATCAAGAGAAATTGATATATACAAATGTTTAATATACCATAAATATTCATTCAAGTTTCATCTGAAGTACCAAGTTTGTCTGAACCGTTTTCCTGATCCCTACATTATTGTATCGTAAAGGGACACCCTTGACCCCAATATCAATGCTCAACAAAGTCGTGATATACGCAAAAAGGTACCTCTCATTGAAACTGTGCGCCTGGTACCAGTCAACGAAATCCCTTCCTGTTATTGGCCGAAAGGACTCTGCTACATTATTGTTAGGTGAATATGTTTGATCTTCTCGTAGCGCCGTAGCGGGCATAAAGCATAGACAAGTGATATTTCCTATTATTTTAATGATTAGAAAATGTAAGTAAGTATAATAAACATAAAAGAAAATTGCCTGTGTCTTAAAATGGACCACTTTTTTGCAGGGTTGTCGCCGTATTTTTCTACTCTTGTAAAGCGCGTGGACCCAACGATATGGTGAATTCATTTTAATTAAAAATGAGTACCTGAATACCCGTGCGTTTACCCTTAATACCTCCTAAACACTTTTTTATTTATTTATTATTTGAATTATGGAAACAATACACAACGTCCACTGGACATTCTTATTACCGCCTTATCGCAAGTCAAACCACGTACGATATTTTCCACGATTATCAGACGTTGAAATTCAGCGTGTCGTGCGACGAGTTGGTCGATAGGAATGGCGCGGAGTTTTCTGGTACTAGGGGTGCAGTAAAGAGCAGAGTTACTCTGTTCCTAAGGTATGGGTAACAAAGTAAAGTCCTCAGTATCATACAAACGTTAATAACTTAAAAATATATAAAATATAACTTATTTTGTTACTATAATATTTATCGCTAAACTTACTAAAGTAATCATGTGTAAATCGTTAATTAATCTTACATAACATAAGCTTTTTCATCACTTATATCCCATTTGCATAAATATAATTATATAACCCTTTATAATACGTTGCAATCATAACATGTTTAGGTTATATGGTGTTAAGATTTTACGTTCAATCGTATCAATTCGACATATCCGCAAGGCGTAGCGAGGTCCGAGCTGGCACCGCGTAGCTTTGGGCGGGCGGTAGCCAACGTGCTGCGGTGTGTGAGATGACCTATAAGTACATGTAATTTATGTGTTATTTTTAGCCAAACATAAGAAACTACAACGAACTTTGTAAATTCATAACTAGTTCCTCTTTATAGTCATAAGTGGTTATAGAAATTTAGTTTGTTTAACTATTTTTTTTTATATTTTTAGGAACAAACTAAACCTCCATGTTGCATATTTATATATTACAGGTGTTGAAAAACTAAAACACTTACATCCGATATAAGTACAATATTTCCTGCTTGTTTGATTACTGGGTTAGCAGGAAAACCAACCGATTTTAAAAATTCCTTCACGTATAAAATGCTACTGTACTAGTGAGTTACGTGACCTCATTATTTATTTTGGATTTCTAAGGGAATAATACCAAAACGCAAGCGACCAAAGCAGTGACAACGCTACGTGACAAACGGTGTAGTTGTTTTAGTTGCAAGACAGTATATTAAAAAGAATATTTCGTCTGTGGCAAATTGAACTACTGAATTTAAGATATTTGTTAACGATGTAGCAATGTTGTAATATGTAAACAGCAAGTTGTAAACCAAAGCGCGATCCCGGAACAAGCACAGTACGAACAACGCGTTGGGCGGGCGGCGGCCACATTGTACAGAGTTTATAAAATATAAATCATCTTTCGTTAAGTTACTGAACCAAGATATATTAATACTTACAAATACATAGATATATGTTCTACAAGTTCTAATCGTAACTAAGTAACTGTAAACTGCTATTTAACTTAGTACATTGATATCCGTTTTGATCTAAACAGTCATAAGCTTTATTGAGACCTTTAATTTAACAAGTTTGCATAAAAACTGTGATAGGGTTTTTACCATACATAAATATAACCGATATCAGAAAATGTTATTACTTGTTTGATTACTGGATTATCACCACCATCACTCAAAATGTCACCGATTTCCAAAATTCTTTCGCGTATAGATTTCTACTTTATCGGAGAACAAGACGATAGGTAATATTTATTTTCTATTTCTACGGCAACAGAACAAATACGCAGGCGACTGCAGTCGCCGCGAAGTGCTAGCTGTTTAGTACATTACAAGCCGAGCTCTCATAATTATTGTTTTTACAAGAATAAAAAAAATTATATTGCAAATACAAACGTTAAGATGTTTGTTTGATACAAGAAATTATAAGCCAATAACCTATGACCGACATCAAAGGAAATAATTCGTTGTTTCGTTGATTACTGGAATAAGTTAATAGCTACTGATTTTCAAAATTCTTTCACGAATATAAGGCTGATTTATTAATGAGTCACATGATCAGAATACTCATTTTGTTTTTCTGAAACAGAACCAAAACGCGGGGCGGAGTCTGAGGGCGAAGCTCTAAATGTCAATACAGTACTTGTACGCACCGCGCTACTTGTAGCGCCCTCGCAATAATTGTTTTTGCAGAGTATATTAAAAATGTCGTTCTTAGAATATTTATAAACAGAATTGGGTACTTTTCTTAGTCAAAAATAAATTATTTCGACTGTTCAATAGATACAATAAAATATTAAAAAATAATCACACTTTCATTAATTGATTTTATGACCAACTTAATTTTAGTATTTTTCCAACAAATTTTTAAGAAATTAGTATTCTCTTTGGCTTTAAAAAAACGCGACGTCACAATACACAATCTCGTACAAAAACATTACAAAAATCATAGAAACAATCTCGTTTTTGACAATTCGAAAAAAATATTGAATTTGACTAGTTCTCAAATACCCAATTGATATTCAGATGTTTGTTTACGACATACAATACTGTAATCTCAAGCAAGCTGTAATAATCCACAGCGCGGTCCTCTAGCTGGCACCGCGCGGCCTACGCGGTGAGCGGGCGGTGTACGCGCCGTGCGCCGTGCGGTATGGGATATCTTACTTTAGGTTGCTAGATAACTTTCACAAATTGTATACAGTTTTTTATCCCCGAAGGGGTAGGCAGAGATGCAAATTACGGCACTTAATGTCATTGTACAATGTAACACCCACTTTTCACTATTACGTTATGAGTTCCATGTAATACGGAGTGAGCCGTACATAATGGGTTGCTTATATATACGACGTGCTCCATCGTAGGCCGCATCACCGGTTATCACCAGGCGAGATGTGGTCAAACGTCAGTCCCAAAGCCTATTGCCATATACCGAGCACAATTCCAGACTACGTGCTACTACTGAGATTTTTTGAAAAAACCCAGTAGTAATTTCCCCGACCCGGGAATAGAATAGAACCCGAGACCCCGTGCCCGGCAGTCGCACTTACGACCAGTCGGCCAACGAGGCAGTAGTTGATATAAAATCGCTATAAAATACACTGAAGAGTAAAGCTATAAAAAGCAATAAAATAACGTGCTTACACATTAACCATTTTTATTTCGTAAATGACAGAAGACAAAAAAATTTTAGGGTACACATTTAGCTGTTGAAACAGACAGTTATTGTTATACCAAAATGGTTTTTCTGGGAATATAATCCAAAAGACCATAACCAGAGACACAACATAATTTTATAATATATTTTTTTTATATATTAAGCTACTTTTCTCATATCCTAATTTTTCCTAAGAGACAAATATGATAATGTTATTACGACCTTTACTAATCACACATCCATTTATTTTTGGGGTGTCAATGACCCTTACACACAATAATCGCGGCGTAACCACAACCTACTTATGCTATTTTTTAATTTATTTGTTACGTAATTCAGTAGTATTCTACCTAAAAAGAATAAGACCTAAGAAAGGTTTTTACAGACCAAAAAAAAGTTATCTCGAAATGAACTTAACTTTTCAGTAGTGCCAAAACAATGAATTCTTACCCCCTTGGCGCCCCAAGGAACCTAACTAGTGTAAATATATTATCTTCTATAAATGTTTTGTATACCAATTCACCATTTTCATTTCTTAGCTCAACTAATGGCACTAGGCCCTCATAATCCATAATATTGATCTGGAAAACTCCTTCAGTTAACAGTATAAATTTATAATAATATTTTGCTAAAATACTAAATTCTACTTCGTAGTTCAACTGCATGCCATACAATTTTGCAAACATTGTTGCAGGAGGCATCTGTAGCCATTTCACACTGATCTCTCTTGCATCAGCAACCGGGAGATCTTCAATGTTACCATAATCAACATACAATACTTTAAGCATGCTTTTTCTTTTGCTATATTGTAACACCGCTGCCCGGTACCATAGACCGTCTTTTGGAAATATTGCAATACATGGTTTATTCTGAAATAAATATTTTTCCTTCAGCGGTAACAGATTTGGAGCATCAGCCTGGATCCCTACCAACATATCATCATACAGCCGATATGTATCTTCGTCCCATAAAATATTAAGTGAGAACCAAAATGCTTCATAAACAAGACTGACACTACACTTGTATGTATTGTCAGGATGTGGTGGGTAAGCAGGATACATGTCATTATTTACAGGTTCTTCATCTTCCGTAGAACTTTCATCAGCAGAATCTTGAGTTGATACCTCATTAGTATTTGGATCATTAACTACAGAATCTGTTCCAGGATCAACAGAATTTTCTTGGATAGTTTCTGAATTCTTGGATATTCTGTAATAAAAATATATCAAGATACATAAATAAGATACATACATTGTAAGTCCATCAATTAACTCCAAGAATAAATCAAAGCCACATGCTAAAGATTAATATTTCTTCGAAAAGCAACAGTGGTATATTTTGTCTCGCAGTATTAGTAACTTACGTCGGCGACGCAGTAACCTTCGAGCAAGCAGGATGTTCTGGTGGCAAGCAGTCAGTACTGGATGTACTGGGATCTTCTTTAGTATCTTCACCGTAATGAGAGATATCTTCCATTATTACGTCATTTTTATCACTTAGAACCTGGATACAAACAGAAAAGAAATTGATGTTAAGCTAAATTGGACATTGTCCGTATATGTATAAAAACACCACAAATAAATATTATACGGAATACTTGTATATAGTATATACCAATTTTTATTATTATAGTTGTAAGTGATTCAGGATTTATTAGATTGTATAACACCAAATTGTAAAATGACAAAATAGTAAAATATATTTGTTACTTACGGCTGAAGATTGGTCAGTGACGCGGAGACCAAGCGGGCCCTTATTCATATCTAGGAAATCTTCACCCTCCATAGTCTCCGGTGATTTTACAGTATCTGCCCTTTCTTCCATTTCTTTCTTCAATATCTTTGTGTGTTTCTTTGTGGTTTAGGTTCTTGTAGAGGTCTCCTCTTATTTGTGATAATTGGTTGTTCTAGATGACCTGCGTAAAATTATATAAAAATTATTAATCAAGTGTTTGAAGTACTGTACCGAATTGTACTGACGATAAATTTGACTGGATACACAAAAAGGTCAATATTAAACATAAGACTTTCATGATGTGGTTACAATTAAATCGTTCGTTAATTATTAATTAATTAATTATGTGCCTTATTAAATTAATTAATTATGTAATGGACCTAATGAATTCTAAGAATGCTGTTTCTTATCTTGTCACATTACACACACACACATCACCAGCCTATAAATGCCCACTGCTGAGCAAAGCCTCTGCTCACACGGACAAGGTATTAATCACCACGATTGCTCAATGCGAGTTGGCGATTTCAAACTAAGAATTAGATGGTTTCCTTCACCGTTGAAGAAAGTATAAATAACTCGGAAAAAGTGACATTGATACTTGCCGTTTTTGGTAGGTTTCGAACCCACTACGACTACACACGATGGCTTATCACACATAGGACGTGAGTACATAAGCACAACCTTACATGAGACTTCCATAAATTATTCAAAATAATATATTATAAAGTCTTACCGAAAGAAATTATGTTTAAAGTGTTCCGTGACGTCTACCTTGGTTGCGACTACCTGACTGACTGACTGTCTTGAGCTAGTAAAGTTCCCTTATATTTGCGAACAAAGAAAAAATACCATGTTAAGTGCGCATGATTACAATAGACAATGGAAGTCTTTACAAAAGCACTATCTTGTAATGGGAGTTGTAGAACAAGACAATCCCTTTGTTCGACAAAAATATTTTTTTTTGTCGAAAGCTTTATTTTGACCATTCCAAAGAATGTATTTAACGTGGTGATTTCTGGTGAATGATTATTCTGGTAGTTGTTTTTTTTTTATAGCATAAGCCGGTAAACGAGCAGACGGATCACCTGATGGTAAGCAATCGGAGTCGCCCATGGACACCTGGCACACCAGAGGCGTTACAAGTGCGTTACCGGCCTTTTGGGGATTAGGAGTTTGAGGGTCGTTGGGGATTCAGGAATTGGGAGATTGGGGAAGGGGAGGGGAGGGTAATTGGGCCTCCGGTAACCTCAATCACACGACGAAACACAACGCAAGCGTTGCTTCACGTCGGTTTTCTGTGAGGCCGTGGTATCACTCCGGTCGAGGCCCATTCGTGCCGAAGCATGGCTCTCCCACACTACAGTTTTATATTTTATAAATATCGTGGTATTAATTTGCAAGCAATTCATAAATTATATTATTTTCAGACAATCAGGCAAATAACTGAGAAAGTTATTATTTAATAGAGGTATAGTTGTCGATGTTTTCTTTATTTTTCTTTTATGATTAAGCGTAATTTGACAAAATTGAATTTTTTGCTCCCTTGTGACCCGGTAACAAAGCCACTAGGAGATTATTCTTGAATCCGGAATTGGATTGGTCAATCGACATTGATATTGTGAAACGTACTCTTGAGTTGGAGCACTAGCGCTGCGCCCATTGCATCTGTATTGGGTGGTTTTTATTATGAACGCTATTTTAGCACCCTCAAAAACTGTCAATACGATACAAAAAATGGCGCAGCCGTCATATTTCAATTACATAAAAAAATATATTTCAAAATAAGATAGTTGTCAGAGTATAAAAATTAATGAAAAAATATTAGACACGTATTATTTCTTATTTTCTCATATAAAGTTACAATACTTAGATAAAATTGAGTTAAGTTTAGGAGTGGGAGGTCTTTACACGATACGTACGATAGTGGGTCCTTAAGTCACACGATATTTCAAATAATATATCGCCGAAAGTATTTAATTTTATGAAAAATAAATACGTGTCTAATGTCTTGAATTAAAAAAAAATTTAGGAAAGTATCCTGTTATTAATACCTTGTACTCACTCTTTAAACTGGCTTTATCCTTGAAAGCTTGAGAAAGATCAGTAGGTCACGTGGAGCGCAGAGCGACGTGTCCTCTCTCTCGCAATTCTCGCTCGAGACTAGTCCAGACGAGCGCGCCACAATATAATTCACACCTCCAGAACAGGCGTAAACTGAAAATACTAACTTTCCTGACTCAACTCACGATGTTGTCGACATGTAGAATATGGAGTCAACTATCAGTGAGCCGAAATTGTGTCGCCCAATGGATTAATCCTCAACAGCCTCGACAACCACCTTAGGCGGTTGACGTTAGGCGTATCGATCAAAGGCCAGATATAGGAGGCAGTTCTCCCTAAAATACATCATGGCATTATGGAGGAGGTTTCTGTCTCAGCCCCACGACCTATTAGGTTGGACCATGCTCTCGCTACTAGTGGGCTATGCCTACAATGTTCGAATGTTTTTTTTTTTGTTTGCTCATCGACAATATTGCCGTTTGTGAACCGATTTTTTAAATTATTTTCTTGTTTGATACGTTTTACTCCCGAGAAGGTGCCATTTTCAGCAGGTCAGGAAATCCTGGTCAACCATCAAATGATGGTGCGATCCTAGGGAAACCGAGGAATACTTTCGGAAATTGTAGGGACGAATAATGCACCTGTTATCTTTTTCAATAAATATTTTTAAGAACTACAATTTATGAGGGTCTGGAGTCGATCTGATGATGGAGCCGACAGACAGTTGAGGGAACTCCTCAACGGTTTACAGTATCTACCTCGTGTCTGTGCATATTATAGTATATTGATGAAAAATTTACATAGAAATGGAATTGGACTATCATTAAGGGTCTGATGATGAAGAAGAGTAATTTTTAAGGGAACTCTTCAACGGTTTATAGTACTTAACTATTTGTGTTTGGGTTTTAATAATTTGTATTGATAAGAATCAGACACCTAGATGAAGCAATTTATGAGGGTCTGGAGTCGATCTGATGATGGAGCCGACAGACAGTTGAGGGAACTCCTCAACGATTTACAGTATCTACCTTGTGTCTGTGCATATTATAGTATATTGATGAAAAATTTACACAGAAATGGAATTAAACTATCATTAAGGGCCTGATGATGAAGAAGAGTAATTTTTAAGGGAACTCTTCAACGGTTAATAGTACTTAACTATTTTGTGTTTGGGCTTTATTAATTTGTATTGATAAGAATTATACACCTAGATGAAGCTGGATTGTCATTTAGGGTCTGATGATGAAGAAGTATGATTGTTAAGGGAACTCCTCAACGGCTACTAGTAGCTACCTGGTGCTTGGGCTTGAATAATTTATATTTATGAGAACTTTACACCCACATTGGTTATTAGTAGTAAAGCAGGTTTGTACGGTCTTGTACAAAATAAAATGACTTTTATGACTCATAATATGTACTGATAGGTTACCCACCCACTGATAGGTTAGGAGTTTAGGTTTAGGAGTACAGATGCGGTAGGACATAAAATTGGCACATGATAGGAAAAAGGGAGCTAAGTTGACCATGATCATCTGCTTGACCAAAGCACGGCAAAATCATAATATTGGGCAAAGAAGGTAAAGAATCAGTAAGAGTTAGTGGCCAAAAAGTGGGAGCAAATAGATAAAGAGATAAAAAGATAACAGAAAAGGTTTAAGTTTATGAAAATCCAATAAAAAGACTAGACTTTTAGAGCAGGTATCTGCTGTGTACAGATGGTTCATATTTAATAGGAATATTTAAAAGAAAACACACATATTCAGATATATAAGAGTTTATTTATTGATCAATTCTATTATATGGATACATATTACGCATATATATTGAGTTATACATCAAGTAGACAAGTAAGTAGATAGTAAAATTAGGCTCTTACGGCCTTACAAATACATAATTATACAGGCTGTAAATGGAACGGTTCCGAAACGCTGAGAAAATGAAATTGTTTTTAAAATTTTAATCGTTTTTTGTGTTAGTCATGCAAGATCAGCTTTGAGTAGCTGATTACAACTATTATAACATAAAACAAACATTTCATTCCTTACTTTTATGAGAGTAAAACTTGTTTTTTAGCATCATCTGTCTGCGTTCCGTTTACACCCTGTACATAAGTCACAGGTCAGCAAAAACACTTTGATACACATAAGCTGTAGGTATGGGGTATGCTACTGTGGTACATTAATACATCCATTGAAGAAATACGGTACCATAATATTATTATTTTACGACAAATTCTAATACGGAGTACCTATTCATAATCTTAATAATGTATAATAGTGGTATATAGTAACTACGATAATAATTATTATTGTAGACAATATTGAATGCAGCTAGATTTTTATAGTCTCGACATATAAAAGATTTTCAATTTAATCACAAAAGATTAAGATTGAAAATTATACGACTAATTTTAGTCGTTATGTTGTCGAAATCTCGCTTAATATATAAATGTATCATTATAGGAATACTCATTAAAAACAATTATGTTGATTATATTGAATTAAAGATTATTGATATTTACGAGCGTAATAACTTGACTTGTGACTATAGATTTTCAAGTTCTTACTAGTTTTTTGACAATGGTTTAGAGCCGACCGAATTATCTTACTCCTCTAGTAAACAATCGTAAAATAAACAGTCTTTTTTCCTATCAAAAATGTCGTTGACACAATGATACACTACATCACATGGTAAAATATAAAAAATGTTAATAGTACGATAATGATTAAATATTATATTTAAATATAATTAAGTATACTTGTTAAGGTTGTGCTTTATAATCACGAAACCTTGACTGAAGATAAATATCAAACTGATTTTCGCAGTTCTTTGGAAATGTGTACTCGCACTATTTCCAATCCTAGTTTAGATAAGTATCAGTAGTAATAATACACACATACTTAGGTAATCCCTATATAACATAATAGTCAGCGTTTCCCAAATGCCGGGTCGCGGCCCGATATTATAACAAAATACCGGGTCGAAACTATGCCCCTAGTTTTAAAAAAGTTTCTTACTACTTATGATATCATCTCCAAGATAATATACAAAGTATGTAAGTAAAAATAAAAATCATTTTAAATGCTATTACGGATCAAAAAGGTTTAAAATCACTGGGCTGATCGATATCTGGGAGACACCGAGTCGCGTCACGTCATCGTAGATATAATTATGTTTTAATACTATGTGCCCGTTAAAAAGTAGAACATCGACTCATTCCCACACGACCATGTTACCGAATAACCTGTATATGGTATCTTCAGTATTATTATTTGTTATTAATAATACCTAAAAAGAATTGTTACATCAATCTCAAAAATATTTGACACATTAAGTTTTGATTACAATATGTACTTATAATAACTATACTGCTATATTTGACACACACATTTATTTGATATTGTGATAAAAGTTCAGTGTGATTATGTGATTACTACATAAAATCTTATCCAAACTACCTATGCCTAATATACTAGTTGATTGCATCATTTCTCAGGGGGCTGTCTCCCAAGTTATACATACTTACATTCTAATTATAAAATATAGTAAAATGTTATATTTTATAAGTACCTGTAATAGCTTACCTACTTATAAGTAGGTACTGGTACTTATAAATTTACTGAATAACCTAACAGTTCATAGACAAATCGTATAAAAAGACTACACCTATAGTTCCTAAATATTATCCCTATTTTACTTTTGCTATTAAGAAAAGTAGGT